ATCAGAGGAGTGCATGATACCAACGTGACTTCTCACTGCTGATATTAACTTTGATCACTTGGTGAAGGAGAGAACTGCCAGGCTTCTCCACTAAACGTCACTATTTTTCCCTTTCCATATTCTATTTTTTAGAATCCAGCCCACTCTCTGTGGAAGGCATTTAAATTCCACCTCCTGGAGGGAGGAGTATCTATATATTTTTTGAAATTCTTTGTAAGACAGATTTGTACTTTTTTTAATCATTAATTTATTTGTATAATTATTTATATCACTATGGACTCATGGATATTTTATTTTATACTGTGTTATAATTTTTAATTTTTAATTATTGTGTTGCTTCAATTGTTTTAACTTTGGCCATTGAGTGCTCTTTCAGTTTAGTTTCTGATCTGCTTTCATCCTTTTGTTTTCTGAGAACTTCTGTATTTTCTGGCATAACATAATACCCCAGCCCCATCTTGTGTTTTCAATGCCCCAGGCCTAGAATTACTCATTTCTCCAAGGAATGAGTCATTTTTTTCTAGTTTCTCAGCAGACAGAGCTATAGAATATATGCATGTATATGCTAACCAATATGTGCACACAACTATAATTATTTCTTTAGCTGTATATCTCTATACATGTTAAATTATTCTGTATTAATACAGTTTGTTTTGTATTCTTTGTTGTCTTATTGTTAAGTTTTAATAATTATTTATGTATTTTGGATATGAGTCTTTTATATAATATTCTAATTTGAAACATGGAAAAAATGAAGTGGCTGTATGGTGCAAAAACTTCTTTAATGAACAGTCACAGGAAACACTTTGAAGATGCCCAGTTGACTTTTAGGAGCTTCAATGTGTTTTTTTCTCTGGGATTATTTAGAATATAGAAGTTTTATTCAAACCCTCACCCATTTTAGATAAGTGAGTACACATATGAGCTTGCTAGTTAGAATACTATTACAGAGAATTGTTGAAGCATTGGCTCTTGAACTTAACATACATTCCATGCAATTTTTCCAAGTAAAAAAGTTAAAAATAAATCCATATCAAAATGGTCTTACCAACTTCACATTATGAAATCTACTAAGTATGTTGAGAGTTTAACAGATTCTCATAATTGATAAATGAAAATATTTGTGATATGTAATAGATCTGTATGATTTCTGCTTCTCCATTATTTATACACTGAATGTGGAATATTTTTATTTTCAAATTGTAGTAATACTATATGAAATAACAATACTTTACCGGATGCTTATTCTGTGCCAGACACTATACAAAATCACATTATATTGATTATCTTGATTTACACATAATCCATTTCTTTGATTTAATGAGAAACTGAAGAGGAATAAATATTGCGTCTGTTTTACAAAGAAGGAGTGAAAGGGAAGAGAGGCATTGATCATGCCTCATTTACAAGGAGAAACTAAAATGTACCTGCAAGTAATGGTAGAAAACATTGTTCAGCTGCACCTAACAAGGGAAATAAGAAACCTTCTTTTTAAAAATGGATAAGAATGTACAGAAAAAAACTGGTGAGAAAATAATATGGTTAAGGAATAATGCAAGCTGAATTTGTCTATAATTCATTTATAAAAAAACTTTTTCATAGGTATCATTTTAAACACCATAAGAGAGATAAAAATTTAACTGATGCTATTTAAAGGAAAATCAAGGATTGCAACTGGAATGGGCAGGGTAGGGGATGAAAATATTCAGTTTGGAAGGAAAGAAGGGAAACTATATTTATTCACAGATAACGTTATCATATATATATAGAAAATTCAATGAAATTTGCAAAAATGCTCCTGGAAGTAATAAGTGAGTTTATCAAGGTTGTATGATACAAGATGGATATACAAAAAATATTATTTATATATACTAACAAAAAAAATTAAAAATTGCAATGAAAAATACTACAAATAAAACTATCAAAAGCAATGTTTAGGAAAAATCTGGAGAGAAAAAATGTGAAAGACAAATACACTAAAAAATACAAAATATTCCTGAGAAAATTAAAAATCACATAAACAAATGGAAAAATGTACCTTTTTCAGTGGTCAGAATACTTCCTATTGTTAATATGTCAATTATCCTCAAATTTACCTATAGATTCAACAGAATCCTAATCAAAATCCCAACAGGATTTTTTTTTTAGACATTGACAAACTGATTTTAAAATTTCTATAGAAATTCAAAGGACCTAGAAGAACCAACTTCATAAAAGAACACTGTTAAAGGACTAACACAGCCTAATTTCTAGATTTATTATAAAGCTTAAGTAATCAACAGAGGGTGAAATTTGTGTGAGAGAAAAATCTGAAAGAGAAAAGAGTACCAAAAAATTGAGCCACAAAAAAATATAGACCACTTGTATTCTACAAATTTCCAAAGGTAATTAAGTAGAGAAAAGATAGTCTTTACAAAAATAGTTCTGAAATTACCAGATAAACATAGGAATAGACACATTTTTTAAATAAAAACTTTGATCTATATCGTGTGCTGTTTACAAAACTTTAAACATATTTAAATTTGAAAAAGTCTTTGTGACCTTTGGATAGGCAAAGTTTTCACAGATACATCAAAAGAACCACAATCTGTAAAAGAAGGAATTAATGAAGTGGACTTCATCAAATGAAAAAAAAAAAAAAAACTTCTCTTTGAAACACACTGTTAAGACAATGAAAGGGAAAAGGATGAAGAGAAAAATTTGCAAATCATATATGTGATAACGGACTTACAAGTAGAACACAAGAATAGTCAAAACTAAATATGATATCCAGCAACTCGGTTTAAAAATGGGGAAAATCTGAACAGAAACTTCAATCAAGGAGAGATAAGGATGACAAATAACCAAATATAGAGATGTTCAATACCAGCAGTCATTAGGAAATGCAAATGAAACCCAGAATGAGATTCCACCACACACCTGCTAGAATCTGGGCTGCGCATGTGACGTCAGAGCTGCCCCGCCTCCCGGAAGAACCTGGGTTGTGCATGGCTCGCGGTCTCCTAGCGACCAGAGCCGCAGGGATCCGGAACCGCTGAAGCAGGAGATGTGGCAGCCCAGCGAGGACCACCATGGGGGACCAGAGGCCGCAGGACCGGCCGAAGTCCCCGGGAATGGACTCCACGCCCCGGTACCGTGACAAACCGCCTTCCAAGAGCTTCGCGGAACACAACCACAGGCGCATGAAGTTGCCACCCATAGACACCGAGAACTGGATATTTATGAAGGAGGGCATGGACGACTACCGCTACGACTCTCCATCTCCCGAAGATACGCTAATTTGTCGCCGGGACGACTTCTCACTCCCCAAAATCTCTAGCAGAAGTCCGCATGCTGACCCACAAAGCAGGCAGAAAAAGCCGCTCAAGGAAGCGGCCCTATTTTCCAAACTGTCGCCAGCCCAGCTAGCACGGAAGGCGTTCGTAGAGGAAGTGGAAGGCCAGCTGATGGCTGAGCATTCCTTGGCCATGGACCCCAATGTGGCAGAAGATATGCCTCCAGATCTCCTACGACAGGTGCTGAAACCGCAGGATCCTGAGAGGAAGCTGGAGGGTGCATGGGCTGCTTGTGAGGACTGGGAGAAGTCAACCAAGGAACCCACCGAGCCTGGTAAATACCCTTGTGGGGAATCCTACCCATGGCCTCCCGAGACTAGGGTGCCCCATCTCTGCCCAGAGCCTCCCAAGACTCTGGTGTCTCATCTCCACCCAGAGCCTCCCAAGAGCTGCCGGATGTCCCATCTCCGCCTGGAGCCTCCCAAGACTGGGTTGTCTCATCTCTGCCTGGAGCCTCCCGAGACTCCAGTGTCTCATCTCCACCCGGAACCTCCCGACACTCATCGGGTGTCCAGTCTCCTACAACAGTTGCTAAAATTGACGGATACTGAGGAGAAGCTGGAGGACACATCGGCTTTTTGTGAGGGCTGGGAGAAGACAAGTGAGGGACCCACCGAGTCTGCTATATACCCTTGTGGGAGATTCTGCCCACGGCCTTTCGAGACGCCAATGTCCTATCTCCACCCGGAACCTCCCAAGACTCGTCCAGTGTCCGGTCTCCGCCCGGAGCCTCCCAAGACTCGTCGGGTTTCTAGCCTCCGCCCGGGGCATCCCAAGACTCGTCGGGTGTCCAGTCTCCGCCCAGGGCATCCCAAGACTCATCGAGTGTCCACTCTCTTCCTGGAGCCTCCCAATATTGGAGTGTCTCATCTCTGCCCAGAGCCTCCCAAAGCTCCAATGTCCCATCAATTCTTGGAGCTTCCAAAGATTCGAACATCCTATCTAAAAGAACAACTTCAGGAAGATACACCAAGCACAACAGAGGGCGTTTCTGACTCTCCTCAACAGGAATACACACCAAGAAAATTCAGTGAGTTCTTCAAGTGGGCTCAAGACATGGGAATTGAGGAAGAACGCATCAGGCGTCTGTATGCCTGCATCCATGGGGACAGGGCAACCTATGAAGACCAACAGATTAAGAAGATAAAGGAGTGTGCCACAGAGCTTGAGGACGACATAGAGCTAGATGAAATGGATGAGGACGAATTATTCTCGCAGGAAAAAGACCAGGACAAGAAAACGGAGACAACACCGAATTTTTCACAGCCTGCAAAGATGAGGCATGGAGGACCATGGTACCTCAAGCCTAAGTTGTGTGAAAAGCTAACAAGTGATGAAACTTCGATTGACCCCAAGCCCCTACTTAAAAAGCCTGATGAACCTGATATTCTCGACAATCTTTATGGACCAATTGCCTTTAAGGATTTCATTCTAAGCAAGGGCTACGAAATGCCTGGCATCATTGAAAGGCTGTTTACCAGGAAGGGATGGACTTACGACTCTGTTAAGACTCCGATGCAACGTGCAATGGAACTTTACAAATATAAAGAAGACGACACAGATGCATTGGAAGAAGATTAGACAGTTTTCTATTTACTATTTAATTGGGCATTTCTTCCTCTCATTTTAAACATCAATCAGAATTTCTGATGACTGGCCCCATGGATGTTCAACTTTGGCAATATCTGGAAATTCAATACCTAATGTTTATAAATATTTCTTAATGACCAGCTTTGGCTTCATTATTTCATATATTTCATCAATTATGTGATTAATATTCACATATACTTTTTTCACATTTTTGAAGCATTGTGAATATTACATCATGCCAATTATTTGTGAAAATACATACAACCAGAAATAAAAGCAGAATTAATCTTAAAAAGAGAAATAGGGTTGGACGTGTATACTCATGCCTGTAATCCCTCCCCATTCTGGGAGGCCCAGGTGGGTGGATTGTTTGAGCCCAGAAGTTCAAGACCAGCCTTGGCAATATGGTGAAATCTGGTCTTTACAAAAAATGCAAAAATTCACCAGGTGTGGTGGCATGCTCCTGTAGTCCCAGTTACCTGGGGGGCTGAGGTGGGAGGATTGCTTCAACCCAGGAGGTAGAGACTACAGTGAGCCGTGATCGTGCCACTGCACTGCAGTCTGGGAAACAGAGCAAGACCCTATCTCAAAAAAAATGTGCTGAGTGAAAGGAGATTTATGTAACTCCTTATATAAAAATTGTAATGAAATAATTATCACAATTATTTTGTTAAGCAAAAATTGGAGTCTATAGCCAAAATAATGTTAACACTTTTTAGTAGTAGAATTGTTGTCTACCCCTTTGGGATTCCATCAAACCTCACGGTTTAAAAACTATTTATCAAAATCATAGTTGAAACTTGAGCTATGCCATTTTATCATATCTCTCAATTGAATTTATGTAAATTTTCACCATGTTCATAAACCTTTACTACAAAAGACTATTATTACCAAATCATATAAACAGGTGCAGAATAGGAGGTAGCTTCAACTCCATGGCAAATCTCATGTGCAAAATAGATCTGCATGACAAAATCTACCAAGCAACATCAAATATCCTTACATATCTGTTCAAGTTAAAATAATTTTCATTTAAATAATAACAATTTAAAATGGACTCATAAGTTTAAAATAATATATCAAGCAACTGCTTCACCTTTCAAAAATAGCAGGTAAAACTGTCTGGTATAGGTAAATTTGTAGGTAAATATCTTTGTAGTGCAGAACTGAAGTGCACTTTTTCTTTCAGTGATGAAAGAATTCTTCTGTAAATGGAAGCATATGCACATATTTCATCCAAGTAAGCAGTGATATATATATATATCTGTGTGCAAATTCTATTTGCAGTGAAGTTTGTGTGTGGAAATTGTGTTCCTGAAGAACCAAGTCTTTTTTCATGTTGTTTTCTAAGCCAAGGCCTAGAATTTCTCTTCAAATTAATCATCATAAACTTAGGTTAATGTCACCACTATATCTTATTGTATTTCTGCAATGGTTTCCAACTTGTGTCTCCTCTTGAGTGCATTTTTGAAAAATACAAGCATGGCTTGTTAATTCTCCAGGCTCATCTAAATTTATCTAGGTACATAAACACTCACACACACATGCGCACACATACTCACACATGTTCCTGCATTCCCTACTCCAGTCAATATTCCTTTTCTTACCTGTGTCTTTCTTGTGTCTTTGTACATAATCTTCTCTATTGTTAGGACTTCACTCAGGCCATGTGATCCTGTTTCAGTGTCTCCCCACCAAGGTCAATTTCATGATGACTTTTATTAAGATCTTATGTCAGTAAAGAGGACACTCATTTTCCAGTTGTCTTCCACTGAACAACTTACATCAGTATCCTAGATAAATGAGTCATTAATGACTTCAAAATCTGGGAAATCTTCATACATATCATTCAGACTTCTGAGAGACCAATGTCATGCCTCATGGCTCAGCATTACCTGGTTTCTGAGGTTCTCCACTGAAGCCTTGAGCTTCCTACGGCAGCATTCAATGTTCATTTCCTTTCAGCAAGAGACAAACCTACTTTTCCACATTTGGTTATGACTTTCCACTTCACAGAGGATGTATCCTCATCTACACAACGGATACCATATCATCAAACTCAAATTCTGGTGAGACTTAAAGTATTACTTATTGGAGTGTCTAGTGTCTCAGGCATCAGAGAATTAATACTAAACCTGATTTGTGGAAGAAGAGGAGGAATAGGAAAGGTAGAAGGGTACTAAAAATATCACAACAGAAAGACTATAAAAAATAACTTTTTAATGTTGTTTATCCGATGACAGCCTTTACCTATATCACACACAATCTTAGCCATTGCTTAACATGAAAAAGTGGTGCTTGCTTTGACTGCACATATACTAAAATCAAGATGAAAAAGTGTAATTGCAAAATAACAGCCACTGGTTAGGGCTTCTATTGCTTCTTGGTAATGTCTACTGCCAGTGAAATAAACTTTCCTCAGAGAAATTATGTGGCTTTCTCTACACTATAATTACACACATTGGTATTAGTTATCACACAGATATAAACAGAAACAATGTTTGATCTATTTGGATTCTTTACACAAATTGGACTTTTGAAAACATCCTGACTTCAAATCCACAGATTTTAGACAAAGAGGGAATTCAAGAGAGCTTGATATATAACTGTGCCTGTGAAGCCTAAAGCTATGAATGGTATATTCCATAACTACTGTAATAATCAACTCTATTACAGCATCACCTAAGTTTCACAAAAGCTTTGGAGAATTTGTCTGTAGGAATATGTGATTTAACAAAGATGAAGGAGATTATTTTTCATTTATGAGAGTCTTCATGAATGAGCAAGGGCTTTGGACCTAGGCAAAAATGAGTTCATATCCCAGTACTGCCATGTTCTTATACTGTAGCTTTAGGCAGAGGCAGAACAGATGGAGGGAAAATACAGAGGGTTGGCTGAAGGAGGAGGAAGCTAGGAACCCTTCCTGGGGCTACTGCGCACTGGAATGACCTCCAGTGACTCCTACAGAGGGGGTGAGTTTAACAGGCATAGATCAACCCATTCTCACTCTGGGCCTTTGGAATCTCAGCAGGAGAAGATCCCTAGACCACTATGGACACTTGATTTGGCAGGCAATGCTACTTAGAGAAGTGGTAGGGGCAGAACTCCAGCCAGAGGCAGAGCACAGAGGGTGTCCTGTGGGAGCAACTGGAGTGGAGCACTGTCAGAGATGTGCATCACCCTAGGCTTGAATTGCTCCCATAGGAGACTTTAGCACTAGGGGAAATTTTGGGCCTGAACTCTGCAGGACAGTCTTACCCATGAGACAGGACTATTCCAAACTGATCACCTCTCAGTCTGCTGGCCTCTTGCTTGGGTCCTAGCCTGGCCACAGCTGCTTGCGGCACAGCTGCCAGGTACCTCTTGGAGCCCACATCATAACTAGTGGAGCACACCGGACTGGCAGAGTGCTCCAGCAGAGTGGGCTCTGAAAACTCACAATAGCTCATTTGTACCCATGGCCACCCTCTACATCACTATGCTGGTGCATATATGCCCAGGCAGACCTAGCCTTCACTTCCACGCCAGCAGAATGGTACACCTGCACCCTGCCTTGCCACTGCTGCTGGCATGAGTGCAACCCCTCCCCAACTTCCACCCCACCACACCGCCATCGTCTTCAGAACATTGGTGGGCACAGAGCCCCCAGCCCCCCCCGTCAGCACCCTGCCCCTGAGCCTGAGCCACCAGAGCAAAACTAGGCATGGATAACAGTGGGCTAGCCCCCAGTGTTGAGTGGCCACTGCTGCCAGCATGAACATGCACAGAGGGCGCACACAGTCCTGCACCCACCAATGCCCCAACCTCCATGCTAAAACCACCACCTGCAGGGACATGCAAAGAGTCCCAGGGGAGGCTCCCCATCCCCACCAAGCCATACTGCCACCACTGCTGCTGCAAATACTCACATCAAGGCTAGCACTCTAGCCATGGAAATAGAAAGGATTATAAGAGACTACTGACAAATTGGAACACCTGGAAGAAATGAATAAATTCTTACAAACATATAACCTACTAAAACTGAATCATGAAAAAAAAAATAGAAAATCTGAACAGATTTATAACTAGTAAGGGCATTGAATCAGTAACCAAAAAACCTCCCAATAGGCTGCTTGTGGTTGCTCACACCTGTGATCTCAGCACTTTGGGAGACCGAGGCAGGGAGATCACTTGAGGTCAGGAGTTTGTGACCAGCCTGGCCAACATGGTGGAACTTCGTCTCTACTAAAAATATAAAAATTAGCTGCCCTAAGTGGCAGGCCCCTGTAATCCCAGCTACTTGGGAGGCTGAAGCAGGAGAATCTCTTGAACCTGGGAGGCAGAGATTGCAGTGAGCCAAATGGAGCCACTGCACTCCAGCCTGGATGAGAGAGTGAGACTCCATCTCAAAAAAAATAAAACAAAAACAAGAAGCCTCCCAACAAAGAAGCTCAGTACCAGATGGCTTCATAGGGAAATTATACCAAACATCTAAAGAACGATTAAGGCCAATCTTTCTTGAAATCTTCCAAAACAATTTAATAGATGGAATACTTCCAAACTCATTTTATGAGGCCAGCATTATCTNAGACACTACATGAAAAGAAAACTTCAGGTCAATATTCTTGAATATAGATGCAAAACTCCTCAAAAAATAATAGCAAACTGAATTTAACATATTGAAAGGATTATATACCATAAATAAGTGATGTTTATCCCTAGCATATAAGGACAGTTCAACATATGCAAATCAATAATATACCACATTAACAGAACAAAGGATAAAAACAACATGGTGTCTTAATAGATTCAAAAAATTATTTTTACAAATTCAATTTTTATAAGAATTCAATAAACTTAGAATACAAGGAAATTCCCTCAACATAATAAAGGCTGTACATGAAAAGTCTACAGCAAAGATCATACTCAATGGCGAAAAACTAAAACTTGTCCTCTAAGATCAGGAACAAGCAAGGATGTGCACCCTTGCCACTTCTATTCAACATATTTAT